TGCTTCATGGATTATACCACTCATTACCACTAATAGCATTATACCACTCTGTAAAAATGATTTTCTATTTCACTGGGGTTTTTGCAGTACTGCTGGATATTTTCCAGAATGCCCTTCATTTTTGCTATGTGGTGTAACTTCCACATTTCTAGGAGCATATCCAAACAATACCTGTATATATATCTGCCTGGCTTCTTCTAACTTTCTTAAAAACTTTCATTGATGGATTTTTATGTTAAGAACGGAAATATTTAGTGTTATATTTTGAAGGGATACTAGCAACAAGGAATCTATATTTACCAACTGATATCCAAAAAATATTGTATGTCCCCCTTATAACTTCTGTATCTTCCCTATAGACAAATCAGTGATACGCACAGTGATGTACTGCTGAAACATTGAGCACAGCAATAATGGGTGGGCTTTTTTCATTGTTTCTTTTTTCCCTCTTGATTATGACATGTTCATAATTAGCCTCCCAGCAAGACCATCTGCAGAAGAGATCAACAGTACTTAAGTGTATCAGATAAATCATAGAATTGAGGAGTGTTTCTAACTAATTAGGAATCTGTCCCTCCCAGGATACATTAATTTGTAAATCTAGTATAGACATACTTGCTCATTTTGGACCTCAAACCTCTTCTTTGTGAAGAATAACTTGGGATAAAATTTTCTACAGGCTTATCTACTCTCAAGGGTTTATTTCAGGAGATGTAAAGGTTTCCCTCAGTTGAATTCTTTATCCTGCAATAAAGCCATAATTTCTAAAATTTGACTTACTATGCCTTCCTTTTCCACAAACCAAAAGCAAATGCATTTGTTTTTACTGGAAAGGGGCTTGAAATATTAACAGGCTAAGACAAGATACTAAACCTAGAAATGATAAAGCAAATTCCAGGATCTACTCACAGCATTTTCTTTCTTCCATATTCAGGACAGTGCTTTGCAAATCTGGCAAAAGCACTTACAAATTTAATGTAGTAAAAAGAGTGTCGTGTGGAACCTGGTATACATGGAGTGGTACTTCTGTCTGGCTTGAATTCTCTCTCTGCTGGTAGAATTTTTAACCTTGATGGCTGCTGTTTTTATTTTCACATTTCTGAGGCTTCTTCCTTCCTCACTACTGGAGAACATGCTGCTCAATACTCAGAGCTGCACACTATTGAAATTGTGTGGATCAATGGTGACGGCAAGGATATCTATGCTTATCTATTCTTTGGCTCAGCAGAACCACTCTTAATTTCCAGTGTAACTATATTTGAACCTACTTATCCATTTGTACAGAATTGTTGGGAAATAAATTTAACAGACATTGTGCTAACTCATTTTCAGCTTCTTTTCCCTGCAGGCTTTTTCTTCGGGTATGACTATCCAGTAAAGCCATTTGTTCACTCCTTTCATCCACAGCTGGCCATTTCACTATTTACCCTCTATTCATAGCATTCAGCAAAGGAATAACTATACGGTTCAAAACCACAACAACTATGTTCCCTGTAAGCCATTCATTTCTCCTGTGTCTTTATCAAGTTATCACAGGCTGTGGCTACATCAGCTTAAAGGAGAGATAAGTCATTCACTAGAAAACAGTTTCTGACAAATGATTTATTGCACTAGTGCCATTTTTTAAACAGACTGGCCCAGAGTGCATTTATTTTGCCAGGATCACAGGGACTGTGTTGACCTACTTGTGTTTTTGTAAAGCTGACAATATCTGCTGGAAAAGTGGTCCAGCTCTGGCATCAAGTGATCAAGAATGCATGAAAAAAGGGTGAGGTTCACTTCTGAAATTGCCCAACATTTAATTGAAGAGATTACTTGTTCACACACTGCTGCAGTGGTGAGATTTGTTTAGGTCTTGACCCAAGCCTCTCTGCACTTTGGAGCTATATTGAAGTACAGAATTATTGCCTTATTTTATTTATTTTTCTCAAATTTCAGTGTTTTGGGGAAAACACCCCCAGTAATGTCTCCAAGACCAGCTAAATCTTTTTGTTCAGAGAGTTTCCTGTTTCTTAGTCTCTTACAAATCTGAAATAATGACCATTGAATCTATAACTTTTCTCCCTTTTACATTGAACACATTGTATTAGACAGCCCAAAGACAAAATTTCAATAATTTTCTTCAGCTGGTATATAGAGCGGAGCCTTAATCTGCTACTTGGTGGTTCCCAAGTTTGCTACCAGGTTTTATCAGGTGCTTGCCTTAGTTTTAGAAGTCTCCATTTCCTTTTTCATATCTTCCATACCAGTAATTAATCAATCTCCCCTCCTTGACTTTGTATTTTTATACATGTTCTTTTTTTTGCTAGTTCTTAGCCACCAGTTGCCGGACCCAGAATTATGACTAGCTCCAATCCATATGATATTTCTGGACAAACACTTTTCCACTTCAGCTTCACCCCTTTACACTTTCTTCACTTGCAGGGAGAGAGGTTGAGGGACAGAAAATGTCTGCAATTTGCCCAGAGGATGACCACTCATTAACACCTTCTGTACTCCTTCGGTATAAACAGAATCAATACCTCCCGAATCTTGATATATTTTTACATCCCCAGGACATACTGGCAGGTAGTTGTTACCCATAATAACTCCTTACAATAAAATATTATATTTTAAACACTCAATAAAGGGATATATAATTTATTAAATATTAAATAAGAGTTAAATTTTGTTTGCATCATTAGATTAATAACCTGTTGCTTACATTGATAGTTTGTACATGTGGGTAGTGAATCTAGATACAGACACAGAAAATTTCTGTTAAGAGAACACAATGAAACACTGCTAAAACAATGTACTCTTTACCACTTCCAAACTCTATAATCTAAACATGCTTTAATAGCAGCCCTTGGGAGTAGGGACAGAATAAAAGACAATAAATGGAAATAAATCAAAAAATAGAAACCAAATTGGGAAGTTTGAGGCTAGCCACTGGTGTCTTTTGAACTTTTAAATGCTACCTTTATGCCAATTTGAGTGGTTTTCATTAAAAAAGACATGTTTTTCTGCTTTCTGCTGTTACTGAGAGGCTTCTTCTTTTTCCCATTAATTGTAAGGGTACAGTGAATGCTTGCTTTTTCAGATTTTTACAGACAAAATAAATATTAAAGAAAAAATCAGGGGAAAACATTTACATGTCAGAGATCAATGCTACGATTCCTCGGTCTCCAAAAATTTCATCATCCCACTAATTAGCACAGGTCTGTAACCCACGATTTTCAACAAGATTTTCTAAGCACTGTGGCCATTTGTTTTGATGTCTACAAATACCTTGGTCTTGAAAGAGCCAGTATCTCAAACCCTGAAGTGGTTCAGGTCTTTGTCTGATTCAATTACTTTCAATTACTTTCTTGGCAGTTCTCCAGATCTCCTTTGAAGCCACTGTAAAGTAAAATAAAAACCATGCCATCACATTCGTTATGTTCCATCCTTTGTTGCCGAGATAGTTTCAACAGTAAGTTACATACTCCACTGCTGTACAGGAGCTATATATTTCAATTTTCCTAGGACACTTGGGTGAAAATCCTTTCTTGATGATTTGTTGAAGTTCATTTGAAAGTTCACAGAATCACAGAAGGGCCAGGGTTAGAAGGGACCTCAAGGATCACGAATCTCCAACCCCCCTGCCACAGGCAGGGCCACCAACCTCCCCATTCAATACTAAACCAGGCTGCCCAGGGCCCCATCCAACCTGGCCTTGAACACCTCCAGGGATGGGACATCCGCAACCTCTCTGGGCAGCCTGTTCCAGCACCTCACCACTCTCTCTGTAAAGAACTTCCCCCTGACGTCCAACCTAAATCTCCTCTCCCTGAAGTTAAAACCATTTCCCCTCATCCTGCAATTATCAACCCTTTCAAAGAGTTGATTCCCCTCCCCTCTGTAGGCTGAGTTCATTTTTATTATTTAGTCTGACTTATATTTTTTTATTTAATGTGCCAGTGTTTGTGCTCTTTTAATCTTTATCTATTTGGAAAGTGTTTTCATTAAAATTAAATATTCTTCCTTAGACATCCATTTAGCTAAGGCAGAATTTTCATGCTCTTTTACATTCTGTTCTGAGTTGTCAGTTGATGTCTCTATATTTTTATTTTACTCTTTTTAAACTCACAATTTACATTACACTTTTACATGTTTTTTATTAAATAATTTCTATGTATTCAGTGTTACTTGCAAAGGTATTTCTGGAGTAGATGGTATCACTTATGGTCTCTGTTACGAAGTTTTTCTCCCATGGCATCTCCAGTGACAGTTCCTAGTGCCTTTTTTTGGGAATACATGACCAGCTGTTCATCATTTTTAAAGAATAATCAGAAAAAAATTCCCCCCCCCTAAAAAAAAAACAACAAACAACAACCCAAAATAATAGTTTGTATTTTCAAAAATTGATTTCTACAACAGCTTCCCCGTGAATCTTCCACCTCTTTACAGAAGTACTTATGTCTTTGTATTTGGAAAACTACATTAAGTATCAAAAGAGTCACTGGAAAATCAGAGAAGTTGATACCAGTGTTGAACAGAAGTATTGAGTTTGATGATAAATCATTGGTGAGGATTGCTGGTGCCACCAGGTCTGCAGCTGTTCTCTAGAAAACGGTGCCTAGAGATTATATAATGCAGGATTTTTGTTGTTCCATGAAACCACCTATGAGGCCACACATGAATATGTATTCATTGGACACGTTTTCTTGTGCTGGTAGAGACTTTGTCATGCTACATCTAGATAGAGGTGACCAGAGAAAGCACAATCCTCTGCTAGTTATTTGCTTTGATAGGAGCAGGATTTAACCAAGACCTGACTGTACATAGGAAGAGAGAAGGAATTCAAAGGCATTTAATACAATAAAAGCTAGGAAAGTTAGTAGAGATTGAATGTTGTGGAAATCTATTTTATACACAGGTATATGTGGTTATCCATAGGACAGACAGCAACAGTTACGCTGATTCAGTTACCTGCAGGTCAGAGCTGTAAATCTGTTGATGTTTGTAACTTTTGGCAGACTAAGAAGGCAGCAGGACCAAAGCGGGCAGACTTCCAGCACAGACAGCAGAGCATCCTTGCAGAGCCATGGGAAGCTTCAAGATGGACATAACAACAACTTGCTTGGACATGGTTGTACAAGAGGCTGCAGCAGCTAGTGAGCTACAGCTCCACACAGGCTTTCACCTGGGGGTGAGGAAGAATCCTCTCCCACATGCCTTCATACTCACCCCTTGGATCCCAAGCAATCAGTCCTCCTGCAGGATCCCCAGCTGAGGGCAAGTCCACAGAGAAAATGGCTGAGAACTTCCATCTAAGACTGTTCTTCTGACTCTGCCACTGGAAAAAAGCGACCATCAAGAACAAAATGCAGTTTTATAAGTTTGACTTTCCTTTTCAAAATCCTGGAAGAAAACTTGAAACAACTCACTAGGCAGCCTCTCAAATATTGCCATGTTTCTGGCCATTTGCAAGAGACAAGTTGCTCTGGGGCCAGCTTTATCTTGAAGACTTTACGCTATCCTCTCTGTCTCCATTAATTAAAATGATCCAATATTGAATTTCATGGAGCTGCTAGACACAGCTGTTTCCAAACATCTGCTGTTGAGTTTATAACAGATGTACATGATGTAAATACATGATTGTAGTGTCAAATAGGATAAACACTGAATAATTTCATTTAACTACCTGAAGGCCATTGGCAATGTTGTACCGTGAATGTCTTCATTTTGTTCTTTAACTTCATGCATTCTGCTGTGTAGTGAGAGATGTGACCCAGGCCAAATCAAATTGTTGCTAGTGACTCTTGTGGATGCAGGATCAGACACATCAGCAGTGTTTCATAAATATAACAAAGACAGATCTTTATAGACTGACTGAGCCTGAGCTGAAAAGCAGCTTAGGAAGGAGAGCTAAAAACATGAAGAATTTGCTCAGATCCACAGTTAAATGTTATAAATGTGAAGAAATCTGTTTCCATGGATCTATTCTGGACCAGAACTGTCTTGAATAGAAAGAAACATACATTATCCTTTGGTATTGATTAGATGAAGTCTCTTTTTTTTTTTAATTTAAAAAAAAAAATAGCATCCACAATCTCATATATTTAATACATTTATGGTATTTTACAACTTGTACATCCACATTTTGATAATAAATGCATGCTCGTTCTGTCCAACTGTGCTTTTCTTTTTAAGAGTTATGTAAACAAATTTCATTTCAAATTTTTTAAGACATAATTTAAGCCTTTGGAAGTGATAGGCATTTTATTTGTAATAACCTATTTTTACTGTATTGTTTCCATTTTATCTTTTAGAAAACAAAGTTCTTTGTAATCAAATAGATTTTAAAATTTTGTTTCACATTATATGTAATTTTTTTGTCAAAATTTTTTCATAAAATACAGATTTTTTATTGCTCCATGAAATGATATGGTGTTCCTGTCCACAACAGAGAAGTTTACTAAAGCAGTAAGGCAAAGACTCTACATCAGTTATAAGCATAGTGGGGATTTACTTGCTTAATTTTGGCACAGACTGAAATCATAGGATCAAAGAAAGGGGTAGAGATGCTTTGGTCTTAAAGAGAGTAGCTTTCATTGCCCAGAATAAACCGTTTCATGATCATAACTCCTTATAACGATCCTTTATTATTATTATTATTAATAATATTTATTTCACATTGGAAGTTCCAGAGTAGCATTTTATATAACATCTGGAAAAACCTATTTCTCTGTTTTGTTTAAAATGTATTACGATCTTTGATCTCGATCCTAGAAAGAAATGAAAGATTTTATGAGAGCAATCCTAAACAAATTAATGGCACTTCTCATTTGAGGGATCCATGCTGTAACAGATATTACAGATTAAAGCCACGAAGCTTTAGGAGGTAAGGTCAGTAATATACGAAGCATGAAATGTTCCTGAGATGTCACTCATGAGGATGTCAGCCTCCATCTGCATTGTGGAGCTCCTCGTGTTGGGCTGCAGTGCTTGCTAACAGACACCCAGCCACCATGCAGTCTGTCTATTGAACAAGTCCTGATCCACAGCCTTTAAAATACAAGTGTTTCATCAATGACACACTAAAATCCGAGGATTTTTCCTCCAAGTAGAATTCAATTAGCAGCAGGAGTCTTTTGAACATTTACAGTTTGATCTGGCTGGCTGCAGGGGACTTTTGCCAATGCTTCACTAAGCTGTTTTTGAGATGAGCCTGGTTATTTGATAGATGGCATCTCCTTGAATGTGTTTGTAGAGTGTTATGCACAAATGCAATCCCACACAAACGCTTTAATTTCACAGTTGTCACCACACAGTCATTTCTCAAGCAACTTTGCTACTTTAAAAAAACTCATGGCACTGATGCTCAGGTGCATCCAGAGTCCATGACACTTCCCCTGACTGCAAGCTGAACCTTACATTGCATATAACTGTCTTCATCTGCTTACTGTGCAGGTCAACAAATACTCTTGGCTACACTGTGGTGACCCAATGCACTTTTCATCTTTCTATTCTAACACTATAAAGAACTGTCCTACCATGGGAAGCACCGATAATGGTGCAGAAGTGAGCTTGTTCTTAGCTTTGTGGGAATCTAACAGTGACTAGAAGGAAAGTCACGCAGCTTGGGAATAATCCTGAGAAGCTCTGGGATGGAATTTGTCTCCTTGAACTTCAGACTTGAACAAAAATGCACATGCCTGCATCTCAGTTAGCCAGATGTAGGCTCAAAAAATAAGAATAAAAAAAGATGCTTGTAGGATGCGGTGCCTTTGGTCAGTCTTGATTTTCTCCTTCAGCAGAGGGATGTCCCTGTAGCTCTGCCTCCATGGTGTATAAAGTCAGCATACACAGTCATTGACAGATGAATCATGTTTGTTATGGCATAGGCATTTTGTGGAGATGCAGTCTCATTGTTATGAGAAAAAAAGGAACAGTCGTGGTCATTTCAGCAGCAGTAAGAATGAGCCATTTAAACAGTTTCCATCCTTGCATGGAAAAGTAGTATTATATTTTATACCAAAACAGTCACTTGCAATGAGTGCTGCCTTGCTTTTCCAGCAGAAATGAAAACAATGCAACCCAAATAAATGGGGAAGGTTTCTACAAAATACTTCGTGAGACAGAAGGGAAAAACAAAGTGTAGAATATATAGGCATGAAATCAAAAGAAACTCCTTGGGACTCATTTGCTCTGTATGGCTTTATTGCTTTGCAAAAACAGCCAGTGATCCTAACTCCCAAAGTCTCTTTTGGTTTCTTGTCATCATTTCAAGGGTAAAATCTTTTTTTCTTATTTCTCTTCCAGGGAAGAGAGAGAGAAGTCTAACACAACTGGAAAAGCAATTTGCTGCTACAACATTTTATTGCAATGCCACTTGCTCTGCAGTGTTACAGTTCCGCTCACACACACACATTTACACAGCATCTTTCTACCATAAACTCTGCCAGATTTACCTTCTGTTCAGTTTGCTCCTTCTACACTGTGAATTAAATATTGGCACAGCACAGTAAATGTTTAATTACCAACCATCATAAATACAAATAGCTCTTTTCATCTCTAGTCTTGACAAAATGATTAACAAAATATATCCAAAAGTTTTTAATGTAGATTTTTGGAGATGGGAAGGATGGTGATAGATCTTGGTACACTATTGACATGAAGGTACTTAGTGGAGGAAATACTATCCAGCAATCCATCCATCCATCCATCCCATCAATTTAGATATTTTCTGCTTGCAGGGATAGATAATCACAATTCAAAACAGATTTCTTGCAGCTTAAGCTAAACCTAAATACTGGTAGATTGGGATGCAAAGTGACCAGCTGAATGAGACCCAGAGAATTGTTCTGTTTCCCAGTTGGGTAGCTACACCAACACTTGCATATGGAAAAGTACTTAGCAGCACAGGAAAAGCTTGGAGGTTTTGGAGATGTTCATTTACAGCTGTGGTGGGTGCTGGAAAACAGATATTCCAAGTGCCTTCAAGTAGAAAGCAAACAAACAAACAACAAAAAAGCAAGGTATGCTCTTGAACCTCTTGTGCTAATATCTGCCTTGAGAGCAGATCTGGAACAAATCACTGCCCTTCAGAAAATCACCATTATTTGCATGTCTGGCTTCACCCATAGCTCAACAGGCTCCTGACCATGAGAAGGCAAGGCTCCACCTACTTACAGCGCTGGGCTGCTCAGACTCTGGCTTCTTGTGTAGCAAAAGGAAAAAGAGCTCGTGGCAGCTGCTGGAGCCAAAAGCTCCAAAAACAGACATTATTTCCTATGCAGCCATTGCAGCTCAGTCCCTCAGCACACACTGCCAACAGGTTCTGAAGTAAATTCGAGATGAGGAATAGTGCAAAAGCTTGTTCAGATCCTTCTGGTGGCCTCCATGCATGTCCAGTGTGATTTTTAAATCAGAGCTTCGCAGCTCCTCTGAAGAGCATATTCTTAGATAAATAACTATTTTCTTACTCACATTGTGCTTAATCATCTCAGCTTCCTCCAGAGTACTTCTGTATTTTAATGACTGGATCAACTGCTCTCTGGCCAGCAGGGAGAAACGTTTTGATATTTTTAGCATTCATTTAGCAATGGAAATTAGCTTGCTATAATCATGTTTGTGAGAAAACACACACTACAATCAGGACTATAATAATGACTGATATTAGCTGTGCTCTATACATCAATGAACTTGGCTTAGATATACAAACTTTTTTCTTTTTAATTGGGAAGGATGAATGTATCTTATCAATTGGAATAACTTCTAACAAAAATAGCCAAACTCTTGAGTCTTCCCAGGCACTCAAAATCATAAGGTAGGACAGAAAAATTGTTGTTCAATCTCAGGGATTTTTTTTTTTTTTTTTTTTTTTTGAAGTCAATTATTATCAGCAAAGTAAGGATATAAAAATTCTGCAGCATTCAATTCTCATTAAAAGAAAGAGGACTAAAATGAATCCTAAAATAAAAGTCCTCCCAAAGTTTATGCCCATTATTATAGAATTAGGTAGAAATCAGTATTCTCTGAAACCAATTACCTGAATAGATTTATTCATAGACACTTCCACAGGCAAAAATATTTTGGAACTTGAGCACTAGAGAATGTTTTCCATCTTACTTTTTCCACTGATTTGGTATGTGTTATATTTCTTTCTGAAAATTTTCCCACAGTGATTATTCTGTACTTGAAAAATCCCTTTTGGAAGAGCACTATATAATTTAATTAGCAGTTATAACTTTGCTATGCAATTCCGTAGCAAGGATAGCATTGTGCAGTCAAGGAGCTAAGATACTGAAGCAATTTCTGGATAATTACTAATGAGGAAACAATTTAAGTCTTGAGCCCTATGACGATGAATGCCATATACATACAATAAGGTGGGTCAGACACTACTGCAAGGAATTTAAATTTTGAATTGGATTTATAAGATATAACTTGAAGACAGAGATAAACTGGAGAAATCATTGCTCAGGGAAGGAGGTAACAGTAAAATCAGCCTATTAAATGTAAT